TTGATTCATATTGTGTTGTTTCTTTTGTTTCCATCCCCGATTTCTGTCATTATGACATTCCAAATATCTACGGGGAAACAGAAGCTAGCTTCTGCTATTTGGCACCAGTTCTGGAACAAAATGATGCTGAATTTATTTATTACATCTACAGCCGAACAAAGATGATGAAATGCATCTATACACATAAAAAAACGTTGATTGAGTAGAACAAAATGTCAAAATCACAGTTCGGCAACTGCGGATTTTGGAACAAGCTCCACTAACAGTATAAAACTTTGTCAACTATATAGTCCCCTCGTTAAGAAAAAATTAAATAAGTCCTATTTATTACTCCCTCGCTTTCTCTAAAATAATCTACATTACAAATTAAAAATTATATTTTAAATAGTACAATTTACATATTATAATTTGTATTTTTTTTTTTGAGACGAAAGGAATATATCATTAAGAAAGAGAAATTTTAGCTGACATTTTATTGTAATGGTTGCTTGTCATACAATGCAAGTAACTCATCACGCTGCAGTGCTAGCTAGCGAGATTCAGATTAAGAATCCTTGGAGCTCTCTATACTATGCACTTTTTTCCCCTTCAATCCAGACGAATACATTTATTATATTCCTGCATCTTGCAATTATTATTTAATTTAGATTTTTATTTTTAGTATAAATTGAAAAAATACTGAAAATCTAAATCGAATAAAAATTTTAAAACAGAGGGAGGAATAAAACTAATTCTCATTTAAACCGATTTCTTTTAGAAGTTAATATCTCCCAATAATGATTTTCATTACTTTTTCTCTATTTGTTTTGGCCCAAGAAGTGGCAAACATTGACTGCAACTTTGCTATTGGTAGTTTGCAAAGGCAAATTAATTTGATGGCCGGCAGGTTGATAAACCAACTTATCTGCGTTAGGCCATGTTTATCATTCAGGTCGATCGTGGCATAAATGTGCGCAAATCTGAAAAGGAATTTATGGAAATTAAAGGATACGGCCCTTTTTATCCTTGTTCGAGTATAATGTATATCTTTGTCATTGATTTTTCATATGTTTGTAAGGTGCAATATTTTTCATGCTAATCCTAATCACATTAAAATTGCTTTATCGTGTACAAAGAGTAAAAATGAGTAATCATTGCCGGGAAGAAATAAAGCATCAAAGATTAAACCACAGCATACATGTACACAATACAGTAAAGCCTCCCTAAATTTCCTTTATTACTAATAATTTTTATTAAATATTATTTTTTTTCGATTCCAACTCGGGACCATTACAAAAAATGAAAAATATTAATTAATTTATAAGATGATAATTTTTCAAGAATCTTCTATATAAATATAGAACCCAAATTTCATAAATTAATAAATTTCTAGAATAAAAAATTAAATTTGAAGATTAATTTAAATAGTAACTTAAATATTGTTTGATGTTTATAATTATTATCTTTTTAGTACATTAAAAGAATTATAATAATGTAAATAGGGTTACAACTTTACTTGATGTAAAAAAAATACATTTTTATTAATAGGATTGAAAAAAAAACTCTTAAATTCATAAATTATTATTTTACTGATAAATTAATAACTCTACAAATTAAATAACTTTAAAGGTCCCAAGTTTATTAATTTATAGAGATTCTACTGTATAACTAAGTTTCTTACTTTCAGTTTTTTGTAAGACAAATATGTCATCGATACATCTACTAAATAGAAATAAACATGCTTTTACGCCAAAATTTTCACAAAATAATGAGAATTTTTATTTTCACATTTTTCATCGTTTAATGTACGTGTGTCATCAATCTCTTACTGAGTTTTTGTTTTTTAATTCCAATAAACTTACATCCCAAGCTAAATAAGAGTCAATTGGTTGTATTGTGCAGTAAGTTATCAGTACAGTGTCACCTAGTAACGCTCATATTTTCACTAAGTAAAATTAATTTGAGCGTGTCGTGTATCCTGTTTCGAAAACTCTATTATTGAAAATAAAAGAAATTCGTAATTCATTCTTCGTACGTCACCGATTCGAGCTGGACAAAAAAGAAAAACTTTGATCATTATTTTTTAACCAATAAAATTAAGTGCAGTTGCTTCATTGATTGATTTTCTTGTTCTTTTTTTTTTTCCCCGTATTTCCATTTGATGTTAGTTATCAGTATATGAAATATAAACAGTAGTAATATGCTTAACAACTTTGGACAGCGATTTGGTAGACGTCTTATCTCTGCTAGAGATGCGTTGAATAATGAATGATACACAAAACCATCAACGGTGTTCTATTAACCAGCAAAATTAAGTTCCTGCTGATACTATTGCTTACGAGAGGGTTGACTAATTCTTGAGATGATAAAAGGCTTCGATCTCTAGAAGACAAAGAAAACTAATTGGGGCAGGTGCATTTATATTAATCTTAATGGATAGGAAGAAATTACGTGTTCGATAACTTTTGTAAGAAGTTTCGGACATCAGATACATTATCAATCATAGAGAAGAAATTAAGCGGATATTGTTTCTAAATTTCTATTTTAGGCAAATGGAACGAAACAGCGTTTACAGAAGTTTCAAAGTACAGCGGACTAGCAGCACGTGAAATGTTTTGTAATGGTGATTGGTGAACCCAGAAATGGTTTCACCCAATTTTCTTGACATAGTTACCGGAATTCGGTATCGACGGCAAGAAAAGACGGTTACCACCGTCAATGGCAGAGGAAAAACCTGCAATGTTCTAGAAAGACCAGGAAGAGAAAAACTATTTTTGTATTACGTAAAACTTATTATCAATCTGTGTCTAAGCCCCTATTTATATATACAATAATAATACTGACTTCTGCTGACCTCTGTATTTACAACTAAGGTCCTGTTCTATTTAATATATACAAGTGTAGTCCTATTTCTACCTAAACTATATACACTGTACCTCCTTATTTGTAATTGGATCAAGTGGTTCTTGATCCTTCCTGTTTTCCATTACGCCCTCCTCAAGATGAGCGTGGGCAGAAGTCCAAAGACTCATCTTGCCAAGAAGCGTATGAAAAGTAGCAGCAGGAAGCGGTTTAGTAAACAAATCAGCAAGCTGATTTGCAGAACGGATGTGAAGAAGGTTGATGAAGCCAGAAGCATAAGAGTCACGGACGACGTGACAGTCTATTTCGATGTGCTTCGTCCTCTCGTGCAACATGGGATTTGCGGCGATGTACAAAGCGACACGACTGTCATACCAAAAAGGAATAGGCAAAACAACTTGAACTCCCATATCAGATAAAAGATAAAAGATACTGTCTACCCTTCTCCATCTCAAATAATCAGGCGAATTCACATCAGGCATACGACAAGATCCATCAATAAAACCTAGTTTCATCTTCGCATCTAGCGCAGTAATAGCAGACATTTTCCACATCAGAAAATTTTTGGTAGTCAAAGGATTGCTTACCAAATTTGTTCCCGGATTGTCAGATCCATGCAATTCGAGTTGTTCCTCCATGAACCATTCCAAATCTCGGTCGATTACTGGACTTCGGGCATAGCCACGCTCAGTCCGACCATAGAATCGATCATTCCTTGCTCCGCCGCGTCCGCCATATACAGACCTTGATACTTCTGCTCGTTCTTCACGTTCGTGACGGCTTTCTCCTTCTTCGTTCTCCATATCTTGAATCGAGGTTGAGGTTTTCTCGGTTTAGTATTCAGGCAGGTTCACACCTGCTCTGATACCATTACCGTAATTCAGTATCGACGGCAAAAAGAGACGGTTGCCACCGTCAATGGCAGAGGAAAAACCTGCAATGTTCTAGAAAGACCACGAAGAGAAAAACTATTTTTGTATTACGTAAAACTTATTATCAATCTGTGTCTAAGCCCCTATTTATATATACAATAATAATACTGACTTCTGCTGACCTCTGTATTTACAACTAAGATCCTGTTCTATTTAATATATACAAGTGTAGTCCTATTTCTACCTAAACTATGTACAGTGTACCTCCTTATTTGTAATTGGATCAAGTGGTTCTTGATCCTTCCTGTTTTCCATCACATAGTGTCTTAAACGAAAACATATACTTCTTCCGTCCCACAAAAATATTTCACATTAAATTTTGAGTTTTATACTGTTTCTAATACAAATTGAAAACACAATATGAAATATCTTTTTTGGGACGGAATAGTATAATAAAATCTGACTAATTAATTATACCCGAACAAAAAAAAATCAGACTTCTTAATCGCTTTATTCAAACGTAGTCGAATCTCTTACCGGTAGAGCAAAGGTTTCTCCAAAAATACTCTTTTTAAATAATTATCTTTCACCAGATGGTTTAACCAACTCTTTTTTTGGTTTGTTTTAGCGTTTTTTTTTATAAAAAAATTTCCTTTCTGTCTACCATATTTCTTGATACTTGGCTTTGCTGCAGCACAATCATACATATGGGTTGTCCTCGTCCAAATTAACTAGTACTTCACAAAAACAAAAAGGAACAAATTAAGTCGATTTAAAGAATACAGTACGTTATAATTTTATGAATATATCGAAAGAAATTGATCTTAGGCTACATGTTTGCTTACTTTGCTTTCTCTACAGAAGCATGCTTCTTCACCTCGCTTTCCGTTCCCTAATGTCTGGTACCTTGAGTCATTAAAGCCTATTTTCCTAAATTTCATAATTGTTATTCCATCTCATTTTAACATTACTACATTTTATTGAATTATTTTAATTTGAGAAAATGATATTTTAAAACATGATGGAGATATCTCCACATTAAACAAAAACCAAAAGTCTGCCAAAAAAAAAAACGAGCAAAAACTCCTCGGGCTGAGACTAAATCAAGTGTCATTCTCCAAAGCAATAATGGCAACGTTGAAAAGGGAGTTTGCCAAAACGTGTAAGAATATCAGAGCCAGAGGCAATTTTGAAAAAAAAAATAAAGAGAAAAGAATTAATTGGTCGGTATTTTTAATAGTAGGTACAAAGTCGACTTAAAAAACTTTTCAAATTCAACAGCTAGCAAGAAGATATGTGGTTTTCCTTCACTAAATCTTGCTCTATATAAACCCCTTGTCTTCCGTTGCCAATTCGAAAACAAATCTTCAGATATCAAATATATTTATTATTCTTCATTTCAATCCTTCAGAGTACAACGATATGGGGTTGAAGATGATGAAGGGTTTCATGTTCCAACTGTTTCTTTTGCTACTTTCATTGGCTTCTTTTCAACATAGTGAAGCTATGATGCACAAGTACACATTTGTCGTAAGTATACCATGCACCGTTTCCTTCACATGATGATGAGTTTCCTTCTTCTTCATATTGTAGATCATATTATTCCATCCGGTCCAAAATAATTATCTTTATATTAAAATAATTTTTTCGATTATAGTATAACAAGTATGCATGATACGTATTTTGGGGCGGAACATGAACCGTCAATATTTAGTTTTACAAAATTGACTAATAATATGGAATGGAAATGAAAGGAATCACACTTTTGCACCATGGAAAAAGTGGAGTTTGCAATAATGTCAATCTTCTAGGGAGTTGAAGGTTCAAGGATAATCTTTTAATTTCTTCATGCTTTGGTGGGTTGATGTGTAACTTTGTGGTATTCCAGCTTCAGTTTTTTGAATGCTGTAGTTTCGAAATAATGGCCTATAGAGGGTCGTGTTTGTTTGAGACAATTCTCATTTTCATGTTGTAATTAAAAGTTAATAAGAAACACATAATGGTCAACAAGGGTTATAAAACTTTTAGTCAAATTTTAAAGTTATAATTTCGTTACTTAATTATCGAAAATACACGACAGACGTTTTTGTTATTTCCTAAAAAAAATAGTTTAATTATTTTTTAATTATCAAACAAAAGCGTTTTAGAAAAATCAATACTCGTCCCACGTACATTTTTCTCCAACATGAAAAGATGTAGTAAGATATTTTATCTTAAGATATTCTTCCTCTTTGGTGCAGATTAAAGAAGTTCCATACACAAGACTTTGTGGCACGAAAAATATCTTGACAGTAAATGGTCAATTTCCAGGGCCGACATTGCATCTACGTCGGGGTGACACCACCATTATTCGCGTCTTTAACAAAGGAAACGAAAACATCACTATTCATTGGTAAGTGCTATGAACTTTCTTTACTCTCTTTTATCTTTTTTTCCACCATTTCGTTTTCAACAAAAGTAAATTATAGTTAAATTCTTTTCTTAATTTTGTGGCCTAAGATACACGACTAAAAAACTAATAATCTTCAGGCATGGAGTAAAACAACCGAGATATCCATGGTCAGATGGTCCAGCCTATATCACACAATGCCCAATTATGCCTGGTAAATCTTTCACCCAACAAATCAAGCTCTCTGATGAGATTGGAACAATGTGGTGGCATGCACATAGTGATTGGTCTAGAGCTACCGTTCATGGTGCAATCATTGTTTATCCTAGAATGGAAGATGTCTATCCATTTCCTAAGCCTAATGCTGAAGTTCCTCTTGTCTTAGGTAAATTAAATCGATAAAAAGTATTTTATCTCGAATTAATTGGTCCAGTATGTATTGTTATTTTTAATTTAAATAGACAATCATTTACAATAAAAGGGAATATTAACGAAACTTCATAGAGTTGACTATTTTTCCAACAAGACAAAACATAACAATTTTTTTATTATTTGCTCGCTCTTTTGCTTTCAAATCAACTTGTCTCTTGAGAATTTGTAGTGCCTTTCTCACATCTTTGCACATATATTTGAAGTGATGCCTAAAATTGGGATTATTAAAATGTGCAGGAGAATGGTGGAAGAGTGACATACAAGCTGTTGTTAATGAATTTCGAAGAACCGGGGGAGACCCTAACATTTCTGATGCTTTTCTCATAAATGGTCAGCCTGGTGATCTTTATCCGTGCTCGAAACAAGGTACTTGATTTTGTTTCATTCATCACAAATTTTTTTGGTGTTCTTCTCTCATCTTCTAAAAAAAAAAAACTTTTTCCCCTTCACCATATTAATGCCTTCTCAATCCATTCTGTCTATATGTAAATTAGTTATAAGATTTAATCATCTGTCTCACTTTTTGCATACGATAATCACAAAGTATATTTCTTCTTAACTAATTAACAAATTGTTCCCAACTAATTTGCAGATACATTCAAACTGGCAGTGGAATATGGCAAGACATATTTGCTCCGAATGGTCAATGCTGCCATGAACAACATTCTTTTCTTTGGAATCGCAAATCATAATCTTACAGTGGTCGGATCAGATGGTAGCTATTTAAGGCCATATACAACTGATTACATTGCCATATCCCCCGGAGAAACCTTTGATGTCTTCTTAGAAGCTAACCAAAAACCCGATCACTATTACATGGCTGCCAAAGCTTACCAAAGTGTCGTTCCTCCACAAATTGACAACACAACAACGACAGGAATCATAGAATATGTAGGAAATTACACTCCATCTTCACCCCCAATTTTTCCTAATCTTCCTAGGGTTAATGACATAAATGCATCCCATTCTTTCTTTGCATCACTAAGAAGCTTGGGAAAACAAGTTGATGTCCCCATAGATATTGACACCAAGCTTTTCTTTACCCTTTCCGTAAATTTACTTCCTTGTGAAGCAAATAATACATGTGCCGGACCTGGAGGCCGAAGATTTGCGGCCAGTGTTAGTAACATAAGTTTTGTAGACCCTAAAATTGACCTACTTCAAGCTTATTATGGTCGGGTAAGAGGGATTTACAGAGATCAATTTCCTAGTTTTCCACCTTTGAGATTCAATTTCACGGGGACTAATCTTTCGGCTTCTCTACAGTTGCCTACTCGGGCGACCAAACTTAGGGTTCTTAAGTATAATGATAATGTTGAGATAGTTTACCAGAACACGAATTTACTCAATGGGATTGATCACCCAATGCATTTACATGGCCATAGTTTTTACGTGGTTGGGTCTGGATTTGGAAACTTTGATCCCATAAATGATCCTTTGACTTATAATCTTGTTGACCCTCCTCATATTAACACAATTGCTGTCCCAAGGAACGGTTGGACAACCATCAGATTCAAGGCAAATAATCCAGGTAGGGTTTTAAAGTTCGCGAATGAAAGTTAATTGTGTTGTCACATCAGTTCTTATCTTACAAAGTCGTTCTTGAATCGCTTTATATGAAAAATTTGATGTGACAACAAAATCAACTTTCAGTAGCGCCCACGAAAATTAAAATCTTTCAATGATCATCGTTACTAATTATTGAGTTGAATTGTATATATTTGCAGGAGTTTGGCTGATGCATTGCCATTTAGAGCGTCACATAAGTTGGGGAATGGAGATGGCCTTCCTTATAAGAAATGGTAAAAGGCCCGGAGAACAATTGCTTCCTCCACCTCCATATATGCCTCCGTGTTAGTTAATGATCACTGAGTCATTAATTCAAATGTAACAAATTAATAAGTAGCATTCATGCAATTCTTTCATTTTCCATGCAAATTCCATTAAACGAATGTAACAATAAGGTCTTGAAATATGCTACTTGTATTCTTTTGGTTTCAAAGATGTACTATGATTAAATTTTCCACTAATACCTTTCCCGCTAACTTGAAATATCAAAAATATCTTTAAAACGAGATTCTTTCAAGTTACACTATCTTTAATTAGTCGAATCATTGACCTTAATTTAGTCAAGTAGTAAGAAAACGACTAGTGATGGTTCTTTTACTCTATATATGTCGGTCTGTCCATACTAATTAACATAAGCAAACAAATTAGAACTTATTCTATAAGACAGAAACAAAATATAGTTTAGTTTTAATCGTGTTTATTTATAATCATTCAGGTAAATTTTCAAAACACTACAACTATAAATGATAATGATTAACGATGATATGGACTATTGAGGGGGAATTTTTAGTTGAGCCATTGAACTTTTGATGGGGAAGTTACGTAAAGAATCATTCCATTTATGCAAGTCATGGCTGTAACATCTCCACTTTCCAATTAGCATTTGCAGAACAAGGTCAAAACGATCTCGATCTCCTCCACTTTCAATTTTGTTTTCTCCCACCATTATATGCTTCAAAATACTATTTTTAAGTTCTAACCACAGAAATAAGAAACTTGTCGGGTCGAGATTACGATTATTGTACGCCCCAGTCTAAATTTACATTATTTTCAATCTTTTACCAAAAAATAAAAAAAACAAAATCCACATTTTTTGCACGTAATATATACAGAAGAACTTCACGTCAATGTTAAAGTGATAATAACGATAGCGACACTCCATTAGCAACAACCAATGAGTGATTAATTTGTACGTAGTATTTAATTTCTTGCAGCTCTATGTTTTTTTACTTAATTAATTTCTACAGGAAAAAGATATAAATAACCACAAACAGGCTAATGCTAATTATCTCTTCTATTTGGAATCGGAGTTCTGGACAAAACGATGCTGAATATTCGTTTTGATATGAACAAACAGAGATAACGAAATGCTTGATTTTCAGTTTTTCGGGCATCAATAATATAATACGATGGAGTACGTCGAAACAAAATGTCGTCGTCAACATTCGGCAAGTGAAGGTTTTGGTACGTAGCTAGCAGCTCCACAGAAGATAAAAATATCTGGATTGTCGACTACAGATTAATCAAAATACTGGCTCTAATTCAAAATAATTTTTATATTAATTGTAATATTATTTTAAAATGCAGAAAGTATAATGTGCAATTCAATTTCTATTGTATATTTAACAATAAAAGAGACATGACTGTACCCAAAAATGACTGTCTGAAAAATAAAATAGCCATGGTTTTACTGTAAAAATAAGTTCTAAAAAAGAAAAATCTCTCAACCATGAAACGATTCCTAGCTAGCTAGTTTAGATTTCACTTTTAATTTAAATTATATAGTAGTATAAAGTAAATTATTTAAACTAAAGAATCATTTTACGGGGAAGTATATCCTCTTAGGAGTTTTGGCCGAATCTTTAACCTCTGCCGGTTTTAGTTGATTATAGCTAGTTTGAAATGTTCATATTCCGAAACTATATGTCCATTTCCTCTTCCGAGGTTGAGGAGAAAACCGGCAAGGGATTATATAAACTCTACATTTGCAACCATTTGCTTCTTACAGAAACCTAAACCAAACAAACAAAAACATACAAAATTTCCAATTTCCCCCTTTTTTTGGGTGCGCGCACACACACACACACACACACACACACACACACACACATATATATATATATATATATATATATCTATATATTCCCGTGTTATTTAGTCAAGGCAAAAAGATCTACTGTACAGGCATTCCCAAAAATTATGTAAAACGTGAATGGATGTAAAATCTACCTTATAATTCTGACCATGAAGAACAAAAGCCAACCTGGGTATCATTAATAAATTTTTCGCACGAATCTCCCGTCTTTCTTATTCTTGATAACAATTTTTTCTTCTTTTGGTTAAAATATTGGTAAAGATGAGGAGATCAAAGTTTTAAAAATGGTTACATAACTAATTTTAGTTTGATAATAATATAAACAAGACCGGATGGAATTCTAATTAAAGCAAATCACTAAATGACTAACTAGCTGCGTCATTCGAACCAAAAAGAAATATAAAACAATATTATGCAGCTAGCTAGCTCTCTTTAGAAAACTTCTTCTCTCTCTCTCTTTTTTTTTTCCATTGTTTCATACGATGGAAACAACAGCTAAATCCGTAGATAATCGTGTCCCAAAACTCTATAAATATTTTTCATTGCCGAAGTATACATTAATCTCATTATGTACATTTTAGATTCCCTTTTGATTTGTTAACACAATAAGCATAGTAGTAATGGGGCGTAAAGTGAACCAAAAAGGCATCCTTCTTGGGTTTCTTGTGATTTCATTTGCCAAGTTTCTGTCTTGCGAAGCTAAGACTCATCACTACTCATTCAATGTAAGTGCAACTTTTTTGTTACTACATAGTATTCTCTTTGTTACCAAATCAAAACCCTGTTACATATATAGTGCAATGAATACGATTTTGTTTTTCCTTGACAGAAATATGTGTTCTACAACCTTATTTTCTTATTTTTCTTTCCTGTTTTCTATGTATCTTTACTTTCTACCATAAACTATACTGTTACACTATACACAACAATTTGATATGCAGATTAAAGAAGCTCCATATACAAGACTGTGCAGCACGAAGAGCATTTTAACTGTAAACGGTCAATTTCCAGGCCCAGGGCTACACATCCGGCAAGGAGATACCGCCATCATTCATATCCGAAATGAAGCAGACGAAAACATCACTATACATTGGTACGTACAAATCCCACTTTGATTTATTATTATATCTTTTCGTCCTTTTAATAAATTTCTTATATATGGTCCATTAACCTGAAAACTCAATTAATAATCTATCATTTTGAAAATTGAAATCCCAAATTAATCCGTCTTTTTAAAAAGTTCCAAATGCAAATCTAACAACTTCGATAGCTATCAGAACACTATTATCATACATCGTACCATGTATTGGTACACTGGGCCATTAATACACACTAATCCATACCTGTGATATACTTACTTTATCCCAAAAAGTATTTTGCATGCAGTTTTGAAATTTATATTAAACATATTACAAATCTAAAAACTTATTGTGGACTTTTTTTTAAGGACATAGGAAATAATTGTTGTCTGGTGATCGCAGCTGGTCAAAATCGAGGGTTATACAATTAAGCTCTAAAAATCGATTTGTAGCTTAATTGATTGGATAGGTAAAATTTGAAGCTTAATTAAATGACCTTTGTGGGGTTTTCGCCTCCCGCAGGCATGGAGTTAAACAGCCGAGAAATCCATGGTCAGATGGTCCGGCATATATCACACAATGTCCAATTATGCCTGGAAAATCATTCACCCAAAAAATCGAACTCTCTGATGAAATTGGAACAATGTGGTGGCATGCACATAGTGATTGGTCTAGAGCTACAGTTCATGGCATGATTGTCATTCATCCCAAAAGCGGAGACCATTACCCATTTCCTCGAGCTCATGCCGAAGTCCCCATCCTCTTAGGTTTGAAAAGCAATAATTGTTGAGAATGCTTCCTTACAATTCTAAGTGGTTTGGTTTTCGTTTGCAATTATCATTTCTTTTATTACTTATTCCGTCTCAAAATTATTATTCAATTTAGATTTTCACTTTTAGTACAATTTGTACTTTAAATGAAAATCCAAACTGAATAATTATTTCGGGACAGAACATTCGTGTATGATCTGGCCTTTGAAGAATTATTTTCTATATATCTCTTCCTCTTCAATGAATCAATTAATATTCTATCGCAAGCTGATTAATTTGAGCATATGAGAAACAATCCAAAGAGAGTATTGACCCTTATGTACACGTGTAGGTGAATGGTGGAAGAGTGATGTGGATGCCGTTCTTAAGGAATTCAAAATTAATGGAGCCCCTCCAAATGTATCCGATGCGTTCCTCATAAATGGTCAACCTGGTGATCTTTATCCATGCTCCAAATCAGGTACTTTCGACAACATATGGATTATTCCCAAATCACATAATATTTTCTTATGCTGATGAAATGACATCGCTGTGAAATTCATAAAGTAAAGAGGAGGACGTGACACATTAGACATTTGACAAAAATAGTTGAGAAACATTAATTCGCTCTATCGTACTGTTTTGATTCGATGCAGATACATTTAAGTTGGTTGTGGAATATGGCAAGACCTATTTGCTCCGAATACTAAATACAGCAATGAATAACATCCTTTTCTTCTCCATTGCAAATCATCAAATGACAGTGGTAGCATCAGATGGAAGCTACACAAAGCCATTCCAAACAAACTACATTTCAATATCACCTGGACAAACCCTAGATGTCTTGTTAGAAGCCAATCAAACACCAAATCACTATTACATGGCTGCCAAGGCTTATCATAGCAACCCTATAGTCGAATTCGATAATTCAACGACAACTGGAATCATCGAATATATTGGAAACTACACTCCATCTTCATCTCCATACTTCCCTGAAAATCTCCCAATCTTTAATGATACAAAAGCATCCACTTCTTTTTTAGCATCCTTAAGAAGCTTATCAACTCCAGTTGATGTCCCTTTAGAAATTGATACTAAACTTTTTTTTACATTCTCAATAAATTTACAACCTTGTGAAAAAAACCACACTTGCGCAGGACCACTAGGGGAAAGATTACTAGCAAGCATAAATAACATTAGCTTCCTCGAACCTCAAATTGATATACTTCAAGCTTATCATAGTGGGTTGTTAGGAGTATACAATGATCATTTCCCTGACTCACCGCCTTTGAAATTCAATTTCACGTCGAATAATCTTCCGCCTTCTCTGTTTATACCTAATCGAGGAACTAGTGTTAAGGTTCTCGAATATAATTCAAATGTTGAGATTGTTTTCCAAGGAACTAGTGTTGTTGCAGCTCTTGATCACCCTATTCATTTACATGGACATAGCTTTTATGTCATTGGTTCGGGTATCGGAAACTTTAATGAGAAGAAGGATCCTTTGAGCTATAACCTTGTTGACCCTCCTTTAATGAACACAATTGCTGTCCCCAAAGATGGCTGGACAACCATTAGATTCAAGGCCAAAAATCCCGGTATGTCAAAAAATTTCTAATATTTAGCGTGTTCATTAAATTCCATTGTTGAAATTAACATTTTCTTACATGCTTAGTAATATCGTTGTTTGAAGGGGTTTGGCTGATGCATTGCCATATTGAGCGTCACAACACTTGGGGGATGCAGATGGTTTTCATTGTTAAGAATGGGAAAGGATTGGGAGAACAAATGCTTCCGCCGCCTCCAAATATGCCACCATGTTAAATTGTTTATTGTTTAGCAAAACATATTGGACATTTTTTGTTACTCGTACATTGACTTATTGTTCTTTGTATCTGGACTGTACTAGAGTACTCTTGATTTTTTAATTAGCTCTCCTCATTAGGAAATGTAATTCGTGGTAATCAGAAAGTTTAGCGATTTGTATTTGATACTTAATTGGTCATTGTGTAATACAGGAATGAATGAATGAAGTAATGTTCTTGTTGATGATGTATAGTTGATCTTTTGAAGAATCTATTTTTTCGTGGCGAATTCTGTAGTTTACTTCCCCCTAGCTATGAAATATGGTAGATTATCTTTCATCCCAAAATGATCGCGGTACAATAAACTTGTCGATCATTCTTTTAAAAATATAGATTTTTATTGATTATCTAGATCAAGTTCCGCAAATTCAATGCCAAAACTTTTTGGGCAGCTATTTGTAGGCCTCGCAATGGGCCGTTTTTAGTCATTAGTTCCGCTATCTCTGCTCTGAATTTTCTTAACAATTGTTCAGAATATGTCAATATAGTTATATACATCTTAATCATAACCATTGAAGTTAGATTTAGAAGAATTTCGTATTTGGCCACTATCACCAAGATTATGATGATTATATCACTGCTTACCTTATTTGTATGACTTTTACTATTTATAAATCTCTCAGTTAATCTCACCAGAATCACCTTTAGTTTTTTTCATTTTCGTCTAAAGAAAACGCTACATTATCCAATAACATTTGTTCCCTTGCCCGCTTACATTTTTTCTTGATGTCTCTCTCGGTCTAGGCTTTGATGGATTTTTCATCGCCGTGCCCGACAATCGACATTGTTTGGACCTGGTTCTTTTTGTGTTCTTTATTTTATGAAAGTGTAATTGTTAAATACAGTATAAAGAGTAATTGTCAAAAATTTGTATCTTTCCTTTACAAAAGAAGCTAGTTTTATTGCATCGTTTTTTTTTTTAATATTGCTTACAATAAAATATGAAATTCGACCCAACTTCATACAAATTTTTAAGTCCTTGGGTCCCACATGATTTTGCATATAATTAGAGTTAACCATGGATTTCATTGAAGTTCTAACATCAATGTCAGATTCCGGGAGAAAAATAGAAATAGGGTAAGGTTTTGGGTCGTCGGAAATGGCTAGAGCGGTGGCGGAGTTGGAATTCAGAGGGGTTAGGAGAGAAAGGGGAAGCACCGGAGAAGGAATATTCTAGAGGAGGGAAGAGACAGTTGACAAAAACAAGGAAGGAACTATATTAATTTTCTGATGATTATTACCCAATGATTAGAGTATTTAATGCAGCTATTACAGAAATAAAAATATTACCGAAATAGTAACTAAATGATTACTAATGATTACAACAATGATTTAACCAGATTCTGTTTATTAACTATTTGCATCGAGACCCTTAATTTTCTCAAAAATCCAAACAAGTCCTCTAATCGTGACAATACTCCCTCCTTAAGAAGAACCTTGTCCTCAAGGTTGGAATGCTGGAAACTGACTATTGATAAATGCCTGATGTTCCCATGAAGAGTCCTCCACGTCAAATTCCTTCTACTTGATTAGCCATTGGTTCACCTTTAAGCCATTTCGGATGACAAACCTTCTCTGTAAAACTTTTTTTGGAAGCAGTGCATTATCCTCAATCATCTCAGGTTCTGGAAGAGAAGATATGTTGGCTGGTTGACCTCCCTTGTGCTTTTTCAACTGTGACACATGGAATACAGGGTGAATCGATCCGTACATGGTCAGGGAATCTGAGTTTGTAGGCGACTCCTCCAATCTTCTCAATGACCTGAAATGGTCCATAGTATCTGAAACAAGCTTTAGATACGGCCTGACAGCTACAGAAGACTGCTTGTAAGGCTGCAACTTCAGGTAAACCCAATCATCAACGGCAACCACTCTCTCTGAACGATGCTGGTCTGCATAGTACTTCATCCTTTGTTGTGCCTTAGTCATACTATTCTGCAAAAGTTTCAGGATATTGGCCCTGGATTGAACTTCTTGACAGGAATGATACTGTCAGCAAATGGTTCCAAAGGAAAGATCTGTAGTTTTTCCCCATATAGTGCTTCAAAAGGAGTCATCTTGATGGCTGAATGATAGGAGGTGTTATACCACCATTCTGCCAATGAAATCCACTTGCTCCAAGACAAAAGTTTGTCACAATAGAAACATCTAAGGTAGCTTTCAAAGCATTGGTTAACTCTTTCTGTTTGTCCATCTGTCTGTGGATGATAAGTTGTACTCAGCTTGATCTGAACTCCCAAAAGCTTGAGCAAAGCTTGCCAAAAGTGGCTTGTAAACACTCTATCCCTGTCAGTGATTATATCATCTGGTAGGCCATGAAGTCGGAATATTTCCTTGAGAAAAACATCAGCCACCTTAGGAGCATTGATGGGAGGTTCCAATGGAATGAAATGCCCAAACTTTGTAAGTCTATCCACCACTACAAAAATGGTATCAAAGTTTTCAGATGGAGGCAGCTTGACAATGAAGTCCATTGATATGCTTTTCCAAGAATATTGATGAACTGGATTGGGATGCAACAACCCAGGATACTTTACATGCTCTACCTTGTTTCTCTGACAAGGAGTACATTCAGCAATAAAGGTTTCCACCTCTTTTTTCATTCCTAGCCAGAAGAAGATTGACCTCAATCTTTGCAAGGTAACATTTTGGCCAGAATGTCCTCCTAGAGGAGAGGAATGCATAGCTGGTAATATGGTCAGCTTCAGTTCAGCAGAATTACCAATGTAGATCCTGCCATTCTTCCTTAGGATACCATTGACATAGAGAAATTCGGGATAAGATGCTGGATTAATAGAAACTCCTGCAATGATCTCCTGAATCAAGTTGTCACCCTGATAACTAGCAATCACATCACTGATTCATTGAGGATACACAGTTATCATAGCAAGACATAACTTCTCTCCATTTTCATCAAGGAGTTCAATCCTTGAAAGAGCATCAGCAGTCTTATTATCTTTTCCTTTCCTGTATTGTATTTCATAATCATACCCCAATAGTTTTGTCAACCATTTATGCTAATTAGAATGTATCACTTTCTGTTCTAACAAATACTTCAGGGACTGATGGTCAGTTCTGATGATAAATTTCCTTCCGAAAGATAATGCCTCCATTTGGTGAGTGCAAGAACCACGGCCATTAATTCCTTATCATACACCGATAATCCCTTGTGTTGTTGACTAAATGCTTTGCTCAAGAACGCTAGAGGTTGACCATTTTGCATTAGAACTGCGCCCATACCCAATCGCTTGCATCAGTCTCTACTATGAATGGTTGTTTGAAATCTGACATTCTTAGTATAGGTGCTGAAGTCATTACATCCTTAAGTTTCTGGAATGACAACTGTGATTCTTCATTCCAGCTAAAAGCATTCTTCCTCAAGAGATTGGTGAGAGGTTTGCAAATAACGCCACCCTTAATGAATCTTCTATAATAGCCGGTAAGACCAAGAAAACCCCTCAATGATTTGACATTTACTGGAATGGGCCAGTTTATAATGCTGCTAACTTTCGGAGGATCCATGCTGACTCCCTTATCAAATATGATATGGCCTAAATACTCCACTGATTTTTGAGCGAAACTGCATTTGCTCTTCTTTGCATAGAGCTGGTGCTGCTTGAATAAATTCAATACTTCTTCTAAATGAGAAAGGTGTGATTTCAGATCCTTGCTGTAGACCAGAATGTCGTCAAAGAAAACAAGTATAGACTTCCTCAACTGAGCCAGAAAAACCTGATTCATTAAAGACTGAAACGTAGCAGGAGCATCAGTTAAACCAAAGGGCATTACAAGGAATTCATAATGCCCATGATGCGTTTGAAAAGTAGTCTTTTGAACATCATCCTTGTTGACCAATATTTGATGGTAACCAGCCCTTAAATCCAGTTTTGAAAACACAGTAGCACCTTGTAATTCATCAAGCAGTTCTTCAATTATAGGAATAGAAAACTTATCTTTCACAGTCATATCATTTAATTTCCTGTAATCAACACACATTCTCCAACTTCCATCCTTCTTCTTTACCAATATCACTGGTGAAGCATATGGGCTCCTGCTAGGTTGAACAATTCCATGCTTAATCATTTCTTCCACCTGTTTCTCTATCTCAGATTTATAAGCATAAGGGAACCTGTAAGGCAACATCTTGAAAGGTTGAGAACCGGCCTTAAGCACAATCTGATGATCTACAGCTCTGTTAGGAGGCAAAGAACTAAGATTGTCAAACACCTCACAGTACTGATCCAACAACCTGCAAACAGATTTAGGTAGTGGATACTCCTCCATGGTAGCTTCCTCACTAGTAGCAGCATGTAACTGCATTGCCATCAACCTGCATCTCCTTTCCTGAGTTAGAATCTGGCAATCTTTGTCGCTAACCAAATTCAAACTATCAATGTTACCAGTCCCATGTAGAATGTACTGTCTGCCATACTTGTTCAGCCTATGTGCATATCATCATAATCAAATGTAATAGGACTGTAATGCTTCATCCAGTCTACACCCAGAACCAAGTCATAGCCCCCCAACCTCATGATCTTTAAATCATAGCTAAACTTGTAATCTTTGATCTTCCAGTAAAGATTTGGACATAATAGGTTCCCAGTCACCTTGCTACCATTACCCACAGTGATAGTGAATGAGTTAGACTCCTTATACGGCAGTTTAAGTTCTTTAACCAGCAATAAATCCACAAAACTGTCAGTGCTGCCAGTATCAATAAGGATCTTGATGATTCTCCCTTCAACTTTTCCCAGCAACAAAATAGTCTGTTTAACACTATCAACAAAAATGACATGCATAGAACCTTCTTCTATGGTTAAGTCATTTAGATCTATTCCTTCATCCATTATCAATTCAGGGGCATCAATTTCAGTACCATAAAACTCAGATTCCTCATCATTGACAATCATAATATTGAATTGCCTATATTTGCACACATGGCCAGGACCAAATTTTTCCCCATATTTAAAACATAAGTGATTATTGGCCCGGTACTGATACTCTTCATTGGTCAATCTTTTAACAAAATCCGGATTAATGGTCTTGTTATTTCTAATGGTAGAATTCTTACTGTGATCAGAATTTCTACTGAAAGAAAAGATAGGCTGATTAACCTGAACAAAAGGAGGTTTCTGTCTCCTGGCAGTTACTTCCAATTGCTTTTCCTGTAAGGTAGCAATCTTGAATGCTGCTGTGAGAGATAATGGTTCATGCATCCTTACTCCCGGCTGTAATTCCTCTTTCAACCCACTGAGGAAGCTGTGGATGAAATAATCTTCTGACAACCTCGGGTCTTGAATCAACATGCGAGATCTTAAAGCGTCAAATCTAACTTGGTACTCTCTTACACCCCTTTTTGAATGAGTTTATTGAATTCTTCCACTGGATTTACTTCACTGACATCCACAAATCTCTTCAGTAATTCCTTACAGAATTCAATCCAAGAAACTCCCGGTTTGATCATTTTGACTGCTTGGAACCACGTATCAGCCTCTTCATCCAGATATAATTCGATTGCACCAACTTTTTGTTCTTCAGGAATTTGTTGAATCAGAAAGAATTTCTCGCATTTCCGAATCCACTCTCCTGGCTTTTGTCCGGTAAAAATGGGTAATTCGATCCTAGGCAACGCATAGTGTGGAATGTTGTTGATAACCGTCTTTTCCTTGGTTTCAAGTTGGTTCGCTGGCGACTGGTCAACAATAATGACTTCCGGAACACGTTCTTGACTGTGATTCACTGCCGGTGTCACCACTACCTTGGGAATTGGCCCCAAAATACCTTCATTAGGGATTGATGAGGAAGCGGGATCAATCGATGGTGAAATCTTGGCGAATCGAACTTCTATCTTAGCGAACAAGGAATCGGAAATGGCATCCAGCTTTGATTCTAGCTTCGTGTCCATCTTCTTATCAAAATCGGCGAGCTTGAGATTAATCTCTGCCATCTGAATTCGTAAATCATCACTCTGCGAACGGAGATCTTCTAATTCTCGTTGGGATTTTGTTTGCGTCATCTTAACGCCTTCTCAAAGCCGAGGATTGCTCGGCTCTGATACCAACGTGTCAGATTCCGGGAGAAAAACAGAAATACGGTAAGGTTTTGGGTCACCGGAAATGGCTAGAGCGGTGGCCGGAGTTGGAATTCAGAGGGGTTAGGAGAGAAAGGGGAAGCACTGGAGAAGGAATATTCTAGAGGAGGGAAGAGACATTTGGCAAAAACAAGGAACGAATTGTATTAATTTTCTGATGATTATTACCCAATGATTAGAGTATTTAATGCAGCTATTATAGAAATGGAAATATTACCGAAATAGTAACTAAATGGTTACTAATAATTACAGCAATGATTTAACCAGATTCTATTTATTAACTATTTGCATCGAGACCCTTAATTTTTTCAAAAATCCAAACAAGTCCTCTGATTTTGACAATCAATGAGGTGTCCAATATTAGTCCATAGTCCAAATATACCCCATGTCAATCTGGCGACAAGGTCCATTAACTTCCTCGTCCCTGTCCAACGAGAAGTATATATAAAACGGAAGCTAGGAAAGCTGATCATGATCCGACCAATTCCAGGAAAACGGGCATATGTTAATCAAAGACCATAATCTTGGTCTCAAGGTTTTGTCGGGTTCATACCTTTTTTCACCATGTAATTTAGACTAATTTGATCCCACCTGAAATGTACTGGAAACCTTCCTCAATTAAACCATTGGTTAATTAATTACCCAAGTCATCAAGTCATCTAGTCAACTGATTGTGATTTCTCCTTATTCTACTCATACTTAATTCCATTAAATTGCTGATGTTTTCAATCCTTGGCTTGATATGGATATCCCAGTATTTAAACGGGACATTTGGTCAGCCTTTCATACATTATTATAAATTAAATAGGCTAATTGATTAAAGTTATTAACTTGTATTAGCAATAATTTTAGCGTATTAAGCATTGATGAGTCCATTTTGAAGAAGTTGTTCAACGTACCCCAAAAAAAAAAGAAATTAAAAAGTTCTAAAAAAGAAAGAACTTATATGAGGGAAATGATAGTACATGACAACTGAAAGACAGAATGACTAATTCAAGTTCTTACCTCAACTTAGTTATATTCAATCCAGGTGGTTATAAATGCATGACCGAAGGACTCTAGTCTCTCTATATGTAATCTTTTTTCTTGATGACAACATATGAACATATATATTGATTATTGATATAGTATTCCCCAACTGACTGGAAAGGGAGTAGTTTATTTAAGACAAGAAAGATACAGCGTATCAAATGTGAGGAATGGAAGTTTTCCCTGATTACTACTAATCAATTAAGGAAGATTAATTGGAAGATTCAAGATTCAGTGTTTGAAGAGTTTTAATCAATTTGGGAAACTGACCAACTACTACTGGCTATGTTAATGGACTGAAATTGACGTTTTTCACAGAACATATGTATAAACTTTGGAGATATCGAATCTTTTTTTAATTACAATATACTTAGATTGTTGTCGCCTGTCACACTCTTTGAACAATTAAAAACGCTTAATTATGTCATTAACAACTATGTGGTAGTTTATAATTAATCAAATCATAGTTTATTTGCTAATAACGCACTTCGTCGAACACTTGTTGTTATCAACAGTTCATGGATTTGAATGTTTCAAAAAGAAGTGGCTCCTACCTTTGTTCGAATCAAATTTTAGAATTATTAACAGTCTGATTCTGGTGAAGGTTTGAACAAATATACATATGGAGTGATTCATTTTCAATCATCATCACAATCATTTTTGTTGGTCTTTCCTCCTAGCTCCTATGGAAGAGTTCATCTCTAAATTCTGACCAATAACTAGTGTGCGAGTTTGAGATGACATAGAAATGTCGAAAGACTACTACTCATAGTATTGTTGTATCTATATTCTACAGCTAGGCCAATCCTTCCCAGATAACCCGCTACTTGTTTTGCCATTGTTTTTTTTTTTTTTTTATCAAAGATTAAGAAATACTATGTTGCATGCTTAGTATACAACAAAGTTGGTGTTGAAACTTATTAACCAAACTAATCCGAGTTAGATCGGTAAGCAGATTGCTGCTTCTTAAATTGCCTAATGCAATTCATAAAAGGCTATAAATCTACATTTTACGCTTAATGTATTATGTTGTTTCAACTTATTAAATGATTTATGTAACGATAGAGTACGATGACGACATATGATTTATATAACTGATACTATTCAGCGAAAAAAAACTTTTGTTATTATTATAATAGAAATATTCACAATACAATAAATAAGACAATTAGTTTAAGTAGTAAGAATTATACAATTAACCTTCATGCACTAAATTTACTCGGTGATACACGAGTCAATTGTCAAGGAACACAAAAACATTTAAGATTCACTCTAAATCATCATATCCCGGAATATACTTGTGCTAAGATTTGGTACCAAAATTTATTTATTTATTTATTTTAAAGGGTTAGTTGTGGTCGTGCCTTTATGAATTTATGGTATTCGACAATGATCCCATTTTCACGTGATGCCATTGTACGCGGAACTAACTCAGAAATTTCTCCATCACTTACCAGAAATGAATTTCTAATTATTTAACCTAATTACGATGATTATAATTTATTTATGTTTTACACTTTCCATTTGCATATTAATTAATCATAATTAAGTTTCGCATGCGTTTAAACACTATTTAATCACAAGCACCGACAGCACTTACTATACATTTTCTAGACCCTTTCTGAAGTGGTTTGTAGAATTACCAGGTACCCGCACATAGGAAGCTCTGAAAGAAAATCATTTTATTTATTAATAAGTTTTGAAAATAGAAAGCCACTAATAAGTTTAATTATTTTGTCCAATTCAGAGATACGAATTCCTTTTCTGTCGATAATATTCGGTTTACACTACATCATGCACGATTTGCTGGCAAGAAGAAATAGTCAAATTTAGATTAATTATACTGGGTCAAAGTCAAAGTAGATGGTATTGGGTCCCTAATGTTCGGATTGAAGTTATATACGTAATGCAAAATTTAATTTATTGGGATTAATATTATTGGTTTTAAGATTTTAAAGCAGTCAATTCAGTAAAAGAGATTTGTCACTGTTGCCGACTGTGGATACCCTGCAAATATGAAAAAAAAAAATAAAATTAAAGTAGTTAACCAGTCGCGGGCATCAATTTATATCAATCATTTCTTTTTTTAAAAAAAAATAAAATTATTATACACGGATAAGTTTAAGGAGAAGGGATGGCAAAATTTAGACACTCTACTTGTTATGATTTCGATATTTCATAGGGCTTTTTGCCTATTTCTTAACTAGTTTGTCAATCCACCATCTACTATCTTGACCAATTTGATATATTCGGCACAAAATGTCTCAATGGGAAAAATCAAGCCCGAACCTTATAAGTTCCGCAAATTTTCCCAACTGTTCTAGCCTTTATGCTTAATGTACGAATTTTTTTTTTTTTTTAAGTAATCAATTAAGTTGATGAAACATGTACATCTCTTACGTTTGTAATTATTTGTTCATACATTAAATAAGATAGTCAAACATTTTCAAGGTTGCCGTAGATGGATCATCGTTCATTCATCTTTCATTACCCATGGAATATACATGAAAAGATAAGACTAAATCAGCTGTACTTGTCCACCAATTACGTTCTGGTCAAGATGCCACAAATTAACGATTTTAAAAATCATTTTGTTTAGTCCCTTAATTATCCATAAACTACAGGACATGATTGAGGCAAAACACTAACGTAAGAACATACGCACAAGAAGACCAGTTCGGCGAAGGCAATATGCAATCAATCTTGAAAGGGAAGACATGATCAAATCGTACAATAACTTGCAAGAAATGGTGTATCACTAGTTTACCTATTATAGACCAAAAATTTGCAAAGAAATAGGCATAAACATGAATTATTTCATTACATATATATATCTATATATATAAATCCCATGCCAGGACAATTAGCGAAAGAAGAACAAGAAATCGTTACATGGGAGGCTAGTGCCACCTCTACATTAACTGGAAATTAAAGTACATAAACTGTTACATTTAAATGTAAAAAAATAACTTATAGCTTAGCATAATTGGGGGTTCCAAATTATTTATTGCAGTTAAATATTTATATTAATCGATTAATAGTAGTGTGCTGCTTTTTTTGATTAATTAATGAGGCATAGCCCTCTTGGAACTATCACAGCAGAGAGTGGTGTCTTCATCTCACTTGAAAGCTTGAGCACTTCAGTTAAATCAACTGGCTGAGATTTGTCTTCAGCCCACATGAAATTCTGAACCAACTTAGCCACCCAGAGGCTCACCGTCACTATTCCTAGGGTTTTGCCGGGACAAACCCTACGTCCAGCTCCGAAAGGCGCAAGTCTCAGGTCATTTCCCCTCACATCAACATTGCATCCACCGTCTGGCATGAAACGGTTGGGATTGAACTCCCACGGATCATTCCAGACGTTAGAGTCGTGGGTAATCGCCCACATGTTAACCATGGCCACTGTGTTGGCCGGGACCACCATCCCGTTGCTGAGCTGGACATCCGACGTGGATAGACGGGCCCACGACAAGAGAGGTCCTGGTGGATGCAATCGTAATGTCTCTTTCACCACGGCCTGGAGGTAGGGCATCCTAGCCACATCAGCGTCGGTGACACACTTGTTGGGTCCCACAACAGTTTCCACCTCTTTGAGAAGCTTGGCTTGGACATCCGGGTTTAGAACTAACTCGGCCATGATCCATTCGGTAAGGAGTGCCGTTGTGTCTGTGCCCCGAAATATCATTTCCTGTGGAATGATAATTGATTAATTTCAATCGTAAATGTATATATAAAAAATAAAAATTATATAATGTATTTCAAAACGGATTTTTGTCAAATAACTAGTAGAAGGAATCAAGAGGATAACATGAAGCAAAGATATTGTTTTAAACGTAAGAAATCACCTACGTCAAGGGACATTCACAGAAGATGTCGCAATCATTCGCTTGTAAAGAAGAAAAGTTTTTGTTTGGATTATATATTTGAAAAACCCATGCATATATTACATACAGTTGAAGTTCGTTAAGCGTCAAAATAAATTAAATCTCCAATAAACTGCTAGCCACTTGGCTACTTAATTTATTAGCATGTGGTAGAAATTTTTTTTTTTACCTAAATAAAAGCTAAATATATTAGAAAAAATAATAATTAATTCATACTAACCCATAGAACAGCAACCATGTCATCCTCATTGAGCTTCTCTTCACCTTCTAACGACAGCAACACATCAACAAAGTCCCAATCATCTGAATTGATCTTTGAGCTCCTTCGTCCATTTTCGTCACGATGTTCTTGAATAATCTTCGCAACAAGTTTCTTAACTCTAAGAACCAGACTCGAACAACGTTGGTTGATGTGAAAGGGGTCATAGAAATATTTCAACCAAGGTAAATGGTCCGACCAGTTAAAAGCTCCCAATAGCTCAAACCCTTCTCTTACCATTTCATTAAGCTCTTTAGCCTCTTCATTAAACGGCGTCACTTCGTAACGCTTTCCGAAAACAATTTCCATTATGTTGTTCAATGAAGCTGCTTGAAGATGCTTTCTGAGCCCTACGAAACCCTTGAAGGATTGTTCTTTACCAATGGCTTCTAGCATGGTGGCGCACTCTAGTTGACGACCAGCTTCATGGGCTAATATGCGCTTGGGTGCGAACAAATGGGTTGAGGCTATGTTCCTCAGGAGCCGCCAGTAAGCTCCGTTCGGAGCGAACCCAATGGCTCGGCTAAACATGAGCTGTTTAGCCGATTCCTTGATGGGCCTGTTGGCGAAGTGAGGTGATGTCAAGATTTCGCGAGCCGTTTGAGGCTCGGAAGCCACCACGAGGGGCGTCGAGCCCAAGCTGAGAGCCATGAGCTGAGAGGCTTGACGGCCCGAGGAAGCGGCCATGCAAGCCAGAGTGCGGTGAGCCAAGCCATGGCTCAAGCTGAATAAGCTGCCGAAAATAGGAAGGCCACGGGGACCGGGAATCGGAACATGGCCAAAATCGTTCCGGCCATCTTTCCATGCTGGACCTCCAGATGAAAAGGCCCAGGTAATTAGCCCAGTGGCTAAGAATGAAAGCACAATAGCGAAGAGCAAAATCCTTGAGTCAAGTAAGTTTTGGGACTGAAGAACAGCGGGAAGGGTGAAAATAGCCCACCATTTGTCCTCTGAAACTGAGTGAAAATCCATGGTTTGATGGTAATTGAGGAGAAGAAGAATGAGTTTTGAGAAGGAAGAAGAAGAAGAAGAAGGAGCTTTATGGAGAAAAGAGAGGTTTAGTTTGTGGAGGTTTGTGTTGAAGGGAATAAGGTAGTTTGTGCTGCTTAAATAGATGGCATGTCTAGAAGTAGGAAGCACGGTCAAACTAATCAGCACTCCTATGATTTTGCTCTCATTTCAAAAAAAGTGATGGTGTGGCATGTGTGTTCACTTGCTTGGTGGTGAAGCAAGGGGACTTATACTGAAAAAAAATAAAAATTATATTCACATATTCTATCTTTTATATCTTATTATTTCTTGAATATTAATCGTGTCTCGTTGATACTATAATACCGTTTTATCACTAATATATGTCTTGACCTAACACATACTTACTATTTTGTGACCCTAAAATTTTAGTTAGAGGATCGCATTTACGTTTTTGAGATATTAAAAACCTTTGTGGATGTCCTTTAATTAGTTTTATTCCTCGGCACCAAACAATAATATGCTGGAAAATACCCTACGGGACCACAGAGTAATAGTAAATATATTCATCAGGAGAAAAAAAGAGGCTACATGAATTACTTTTGTATAAAAAGAATTCGTACGCCCATAGTGATTACTATATCCAAATAAATTAACCTGAGGAGAGTTTTCCATCCAATTACCTAGGAAGGACCATCTAAATTATTCTGTCTGTGAAAAGTGACAAAACTTAATTTCTTGGACATTTCATAGTCTTACTACCTTAATCTACTATTCCAGCCGCATCGATCGATTGCTGGAGCAAATGAAATAGTGAATGTTAAGTGACAGCTCTTTCCCTTGTTATATACACTATCCCATTACTTATTCTCTTTGCGAACATCGATGGCTTCAACTATCATTAGAATTAATTGAAATTAGTTCAGCATATATGTTCTCTTCTCTTTGGATGTACTTTCAGAAGCATTTCATTAATTTGTTAATTTTGTTTATCCGTATTTCATTGCAATAGTATCAGTAAATTAGTACTAATAAACACATTTTATTTTAGGACAGAAAGAGCAACTAGCAAACGCTGCTCTCTGACTTTTAAGCCTTGCACCTAATTTATACTTTTTTCTTATTCTCTTTTCTGTTTTTCAGTAAAAGGCTCAAATTATTGCGCCGGCACACTCTCTTTATTAATCAGGAGTCTTCTAATTTTCCACCCTACGTCGTCTGTATTCATACCTTTCATTTTCACATGATATTTTTTAGGGAATCGATTTATCAAATGTGGATATATTTCCTTTTTTTTTTTTTTTTGGCTCTCCAATTAGAAATGAGTTTCCTTATTACACAGTCAGCTGTACGACTAAATTAATGTGAGAAATTCCAGATTCTTTTCCAGTCAAACTGATAATTGCGTGCTGCTTCTAATTGAATTAGTTGGATAATGACTTATAACCAAGCTATATATAAGTGTGGTACATAAAATCTCATTGTACGTAGCAAGATTGTGGAATTCCTTTTCTTTTTTCTGTGAATAAGAACACACTTGTATACTATTTTGTTAAATATTCAAGACTAACTGAGGGATCGAAAACCCGTTGAGCACCCGATCAAGTCAATGTTTTGACAACTTCTCAAAACATTTCAACAAAAATATAAGAATTAATGTGTTTTTTTTTCAAGTTTTGTAGTAATTAAATTCATTAATTTAGACACACCGACCGTGTGGATAAATGTAGTATTATTAGTTACAAATTTTCTTTTTAAGAAAAAATAAATTAATTAATAAAGAAAACCATGCGCAAAGTTTCTTAGGCACCGACCCGATTGAAATTTGTGGACCGGCGCAGTGTCTCGATAAGGAGGCGAAGGTAAAATTCCCAGGTAGTTTCCCCTAATAATTTGACTGATGGATTGGACTTTTTGGGTTTAGTTGGAATAAGGTCACCAACTAATTTCTTGGTTGATGTTAAAAAAGAAGAGATAAAATAAAACCAAACAAAGGATGTAATTATTTAGTCAGAAGTAACAGTATTTTCAAGTCAACAAGTTATGTATAGTGTGCTAAAGAAGGAATAACTGCTAATTGTACTCTCTGCAAAATACTGCACTCTTTGGTATAGTCTATTGTCTACCTACCTACCTTAATGCTTTTCTTTAATTTTCTTTTGAGCAATCCTTTGCTGTTGTGACTGATGATCTTCAATGTACTGTAAGTTGTAGTGGACAAAATTGCATCTGGATGTACATATTTTTCTGAGCCTCTGTCTTTTGAGTTTTTTAAACACACATAATTTGTGTCTTTTATTTGTAGATCATGCTGATTTAAAATATTCTTTTCGTTATAAAATAATTGTTCAATTTAAAATTTTACTTTTAATACAAATTATATTAAAAATAAAAATTTAAATTGAACAATCATTGGGGAAAGAGACGAAGTACTAAGCACTTCACTTTCTTTATTGTACTACATTCTAAAGAAAATCAAAGCTACTAGCTGTGCATTTTTTAATGGGGGAAAGGTGGGGTGCGAGCTTAGGCCGTTGACACCTCCCTTAATTTTCATGCATAACCGAAAAATGAAAACGATTCCTACAGCATCGATCTCATGACACAGAAACGCCTGAAATATAACGAGAGAAAGCTAAAGAGTGGGCGAACGATTCATTCTGCGTCATAAAAATTATTATGTTTGAATATTTACTTTTAATATAATTTTGAAAATAAATAGAAATTTAAATTGGACAATTATGTCGAAATGAAAGGAATATAAAATATCGATGTATTATCAAGATGATTTGGTACCATATCATGGATGAAGAAATTCGAAAAGTTAACAAAGACTGCTTATACATTGAACATCTTTGAATGCTAGTCAAATTGAGAAAGATGTGTCGTCGTGGCAGTAAGGCTCTAAGTGCATTCGGAGATTTTCATTCAGAGTATATATCAAAAGGTGTTTTTTTTTTCCACACTTTTAATGCGTGGAGTCTGGTGAATGCTATTCAAATTGATTGGAGATGCGAGTGAGAAGATGCAATACAAACATGGAAAAGGGGTTATTCGAAACAAAGGAAAACTTCGGGTTTTATTTTACACAGAAATGACAAAATTTCTCGAAAAAACATTCCTTGGGGAGATTATGAAAAGGGCAGGTCAAAACGATGCAAGTAATTTTTATTTTATTTTATTTTTTTTGTTACAAGATGCAAGTGTATATATATACACACACACACACCAAATTGACGTTTAAGATACATATATTTTAAAAGTAGTGACAGAGTCAAAATATTATGAAATGTAGTAGTGACTCACTTGTATATTGTAATTAATAATAAAAATATTATAATTTTGAAGGAGAAGTTTCTACATGAAAGTACCTACGAAATAAGGCCGGGGTCATAAATTAGAAAAGTCAATATGCTTCAGTTACTGTATCGTTTCACTATTCTTATCACTTTTTATATTTAATTTATATTTTCTCTAGCACAAAAAAAAATCATATTAAATTTTCTTATATTTAATTTTTTGGAACAGAAGTGTAATATTTATAAACAAAAACGTATGCATGCATTTGGAGAGATTTCGTAAACCGTTAACGAGGTATCCTCGTGAATAGTGAAGCAGCAAACTAACTTGATAGTTTCAAAACAAAGCTTGTGATCACAACACTTATTTTCCAGTTTTCATACCCTCAATGTACTCAAAACTTTTTGGCTTTAGGAATCCCAAAAATATATATATAGTAGTAAATTCATTTCTAAGCATGGAAAGAGTAGTACCCGAAATACGATTCTCAATGTCAAACCTCATCACAAAGAACACATATCGGAACGCACACAGATCGAGTTCCAACGTGGGATCGATCGATCCCGAAACCTAAAACGTACACAACGCTCTCTTTTTTCTTGCTATACTCAAGTGGGTTCGTGCGTGCAGTTTGGCGGGAAGCCTGGCATAGTGGTGTCTAATTTGCATAAATCTCAACTTGATAATCCCAATCCAATATCCGATGAAGATCTTTAATCCATAACCATGACAAGTGAGAATATTTACACCTCTTTTTACAATAAACTGTATTAATTCTTTTTTTTTTTTCCAAAAGTGATCTCACTTCACTAGAATTTACTTTTTTTTTATGTAAGAAAATAAAGTCGTACTTGTTGAACTGGTTTAATACGATAACAACTACGTCTCATAAAACAAATAAGCAATACATGAGTAATGATAAGTACAAGGAAAAATCACAAGGAAAACTTACAAGAAATGATGTGTCATTCATCAAAATTATGCCCTGACATTAAATATTTAAACCCCAAATGAAAAATTTTAAGCGAAAACGGCTATGATTATTTCCTTGTTAGTTTTTCCTTACACTAATCATTATCAAGCTATAACAAAAGACCACTCATCAGTATAGATTAATCAAATTTGTTTTGTGTTCTTTTCTTGTCATCGGAAATTGGAAGTGTTCGCTTAGCCAACGGCTCTCCCTCCTAATCATAAGGTTATATATAATCATGCATCGGTTATTGAATTCCACCGTCCTAATTATATTCTGGTGAGCCTACTCAACTAGTGCACAAAACTAAGCCGCATGAACAGTTGGTTACTTTGATTTTGAAAATGGTAAAGCGCATCGAAGATTGGAAATGACAGAGGATGGAATGGAACCCTCACTTTCTTACGCGAGAATGGAGCTAAAATTTCATTTCATAATTTTCTTAATGAGTGAGTTGAACGATCAAAATCAGTTGTTTCATATTTTAAAAGCAATGACTTCGCTTTTTAACTCTGATTCGAGCCGCGCTAACTCTAGTAACACCTATGTTTACAGTCAGATGTAAGCGGGCACGACATCGTCCCAGGGCGCGGGGGTTTCCTTTTATTGGATTGCTTCACCAAAAAAAATTGATCCAATTCAAAATTTAGTATAGTGTTCACGATATATGCGTTTCTTCTATTTAGACGGTTCAAAAAATTCTAATTCACTTATGTGAAATTAAGATTAATTTTTTCTTCCCTAATTATTTTGGTTATTAGTGAATTTTGGTTTTGGATTGGAGCTTGAATTATAAGTACGAGATAGTACATAATCTGAGTCACCACTCCATATTGACGTGAACGTCATGCACGCCCATATACGATGCTTAATTAATTGGTAACAGAAAGAAGCAAAAATGAAGGACGTTGAAGTGTTTTTCTTTCATCAATATGGTCCTGTTCCCACGGCGGCATTATTACCATATTATGATCATAATAATGCCTACAAGCATTCTTTGCGGTGTTTGACCCAAATACCTAGTCGCCATTCATGGGGATAAGCAAATTACTCAAGTCACCATAAGAGAATCCAGACGAAATGATGCTTCAACCCAACATAGAGGTGTTTTGTTAAACTATAGAGATACTTTGTTAAATTATAGAGATATTTTAAAAAATTATAGAAGTATTTTGTTAAATTAAAGAAATACTTTGCAAAATTATAGAGGTACTGTTAAATCATAGAGGTATTTTGCGATATTATTGCGAAATTATAGAAATACTTTACGCAATTATAGAGATATTTTGCGAAATTATAAAAGTAATTTTTGAAATTACGTATAGATGTATTTTGTTAAACTGTAGAGATACTTGTTAAATTATAAAGTTACTTTGCGAAATTATAGAGGCACATTGCGAAACAATAGAAATATTTTGTTAAATTAAAGAAATACTTTTCGAAACTGGTATTTTGTGAAACTATAGAGGTACTTTGTTAATTTAAATAAGTATTTTGTGAAGCTATAGAGATAATTTGTGAATTTATAGAGATACTCTGTGAAATTACAAAAGTACATTGTTAAATTAAAGAATTAATTTCCGAAAACATAGAGGTACTTTGTTTTGCAAATGATCTCATTGTCTTCACTCGAGGCTTAAAGGTGTCTATGCAAGAATTAGATAGAATTTTTGAAAGTTATGAGAATGCATTAGGTCAGAAGATTAACCGACAAAAGAGCAATTTCTATGTTAAAGAAGATTGCAATGCTTCTCGGAGTTAGACTATTAAAAACATCTTAGGTCTGCAACAAGGTTCTTTTCCTTTTGTATATCTTGGATGTCGGCTATACTTTGGCAGAAAGAAAGCTGCAACTTTTCAATTTATTCTAGTTACCATTGATCGTCGTCTCTCGGATTGGAAGAATAAAATCTGATTCAAGAGGGAAGACTACTACTCATAAAGTATGTTCTTGCCTCTATTCCACTTCATGTTTTCGCTGCAGTTGTTTCTCCAAAATCTATTATTGATGCTATGCAGAAAAAATGTCAAAAGTTTTTTTGGCAAGGTTCGGATGGATTGGCTCGAAGACACTGGAGGTCATGGGACAAACTCACTTTTCCAATTTCCGAGAATGGCATTGGTTTGAGGATTTTTTTTAAAAAAATTTCTTAGATACCTTCTCCATGAAATTGTGGTAGAAGATTAAGCAAAAAAAAGGGAATTTGGGCTAGATTGCTTCTCGCACTTTCAGACTCCACGTAGCAGAAAACCTCATGAAGCAAGGTTGAGAAAATTGATCATTTCGCCTCCTTGCATTCTAAGGTGCTGATTCGCAATGGTGAAATGAGTTGCTGGTTTGACAATAGTCACACTTGGGGGTTATATGGGACATACTAGCTGAGACTCCGCCATACCCTAACCTTAGTCTTGAAGGGTTTTTTGAAAACAAAATTCTGTTTTTGGAGGAATTCACCGCGCGGCTCTCGTAAGCTGTAATTGATTCCTTATCGACTATGGTCTTTGATTTCTCTGATGGTGCGGATTTGCTATTATGGCAGCCTTTTTCCACAGTTATCTTCTCCATCAAAACAGGTTAAGCAATGCGAGGTCGCCTTCCTTGAGATCTCTTATCTTGTGATTATTGGAATAAGTTTGTTCCCCTCCGCATATCCCTTTTTCATGTGGGAGCTGCGTAATTACCTACTTCCATTCCCAGAGGTCCTTTGTAGGATGGGATTCCACGCCTTCCCGTCTATATGTTGGCTTTGTAAATTGCATGAAGAATCCATTGAACACTTTTTCTTTGAATGTCTGAAGGTGCATGTATTATGGAGGCAGGTTGGTTTTTCTATAGAATATGGTGGTACCTTCGTCTCATGCTTTATAGCCTTTTCTCAAAGAATGGTGGTTTAAGTGAAGTCTCACTACTACTTTAAAAACAATTATAAAGGTTGCTCCAATCTTTACATTGTGGGAGTTGTGGAAGGTGAGAAATGGTTTCGTCTTTGATGGAATCCCTATTTATTTACATAAGGTGCTACAGGCGATTGTGAGACACATTGAAGGCATGCATCTTGTACACGATTTTAAGGTCTCTTCTACAGCTGAAATGTCCATACTAGAGTCTTTTTTCCCCGCTCTGTAATTTCGAGTTAAGTCTAGGAACTCCAAGCTTGTAAGTTGGAGACATCCTGATCTTAATGCATTTATTTTAAATACAGATAGCTCTTCCTTAGGGCAGAGTTTGGATTCGAGGTATGGTTCTCTGATCCAAGGGGAGCAAGGGCTCCTTGTATAGGGGGAATATGGTTTTCTTGGTAAGGGAAACAACTTAACTACAGAACTATATGGCTTACTATTTGGTGTCTGTAGATGTGCTCTTCTTGGCCTTTCTCATGTGGAGATACAAATGGATAATAAGTTGATAGTGGATGTCATTAATAATGGTGATCCTTTTCCTTGGCAATATATTATCTCGGGAGGCGTACTTGGGCAAGTCACATGTTTATATTTCTCAAGGAACCATCCAAACGCTCAGCAAATGAACACTCTAGCTACTATATGCAAAATAAAAGATTCCATTGATATTCATTAGTTTCTCAATAATGTCACTATGTACCTACGAGTATCGCTCTACATAACAAATATAATCCCTTCCTATTAAATCCCTTGCCTTATGATTGTTAACTGATGTGGATCTAATATCCCTTTATGCGAGATTTTGTCAATATTTAAGTACAAAATATGCTATTTATATGATTTTATCTTTGATTGTCGAAATTGTACTCGAATGGAGGAATTGTTGAAATTTTGAGCTAAATTGAATTAAAAGCAATTCAGAGAGCCGGAATTGAAAAATGAAATTATCAATGAAGAAGAAATCAATGAGCTTTAAAAGTTGGAGGGCCAAAGATGAAATTCTGGATTGATCTTTGGGTTTTGGCCGAAAAGAAATCAAAGTGATTGATGCTAATGGTGGTCAGGTTTTGGAGCCCAAATAGCTTAACGTGGGCTGCCACTTTTGATTAAAAGAAATGGGAAAAGATTTGGAATATTATGGAAGCCCAATGCCCTTATCTGTTTGCTGAAAATTTTGAAGGCTTTTTGCCACCCCCTCGACCGAAACGAAACCACAGAGAAACAAATTGAGGCGGTGCTGCAGGAGCTGGAATTTTTCGGAAGAGAGTGGCCCTAATTTAATTGGGAAATAAGCAAACTTAATCTCCAAGAAATTGGAGTTTCGAATGTCTATAAATAGAGAGTTAGCTTTGGATTTTTGAGAGACCACCGAGACTACACCATCTACAAAATCCTTCCGCCGACCACCTCCTTCTCCACCTCTTGCACATCATCATCATCACTTTAATCAGCATCATCATTGATCACCGAAAGCAATATCACCATCAGCCTTCAACGTCCATCAGCCGAGGAGACGAAACATCCGAACGTGGAGAACCGAAACAAGCAGCGGCCTTGAATTAAATTGATTTTTGCTTTCAGTTTCGGCAGAGTTTTCCGGGTTTTATTGCTTTTCTTTTATTTATTAAATTTCAGAATTAAGAATGATGTTTCTAAATATTGTTGAATTATTTAGTACAACCAATTTACAATAACCAGTGTTCAAAACAGGGTTATGTCCTATTGCTTGCAAAACATTGATGAATATATATTATGGACCAAACATTGGTTTAACTGATTTTTGGATCCCTCGAATTTGTGACATTCTTGACCAAATCTGCAAGACCTTGAATAAGAAAGAATCACTCTACTTGGACAAATGTGTTCATAAGTAGTACGCGAGCCCGAATCGATGATTGATGATATTCAAGAATCATATCCAAAATTTAGATAACTAATTAACAAACCAAAGTTTTGTAAAAATACTTTCTTTATCTCGAAATAATTGTTCTATTTGTTGTGTGTTTCTTTTGTGGCCGGGAGTAACTTTAATGCAAAAAAAAATCATCTAGTAAACAACTTCAACGGGCTTAAACCCATTATCAATAGAAGCCTTAACAGCATCCAGAACAACCTGAGTCTTCGTACTAATCTCTCCCCACTTCTTCTCAGGATTTGCACCATTCCCCTGTATCCCACCAACCAAATCACAAAATTCCTTGATCATCAGCGCTTCCTGAGGAAGATCCGTCGCGATAGTCTCTTCGCGGGCCGGATTTCCCAAGCTGTAGGCGTAATTAGCGATCCTGTTAATCCGGTTCATGTAAAATGTCGCGTCATTCTCGTTCACAGGGATAACGTAATCATTGGCGTGGAGATTTCCATTGGTTCCGAGGACGGTAAGGTCCATAACCATGGTTGTTAGGAAAGAGCAATAAAAAGTGGCTGTTCTTCCGCCTTCTTGCCATTTTAGTGATGCACCACATGATAAGATCACCCCTGAATCGTTTACCTCTGGATCGGCAATTGCGGTTACGGATTTCGGGAGTTCGTAATCAAATGCCCACAAAATGGCTCGAATGCAATACCAACCCAAATCACCTAGAGCTCCGAGTGAATCGAGATCTGGTTTTGTTCGGATGTCGTTTTTGAGAAATTCAGGGCCTCCGGCAAATGAGAATGCGCTGTGTATCTGCTAACAATTAGAGTATTAAAATGTAGGTCTTTTTCCCCCCAAACCTTAATTTGGATCCTAAACTTTCCCAAACAAAAGAAAATATACTTACTCCGTCCCAAAATTATTGTCCGCATTGAATTTTCATTTTTAGTACAAATTATACTAAAAGTGAGAATCCAAACTGGACAATAATTATGGGACAGAGGGAATAATAAACAGGAAATGATACATGTATCTCGCGCCAAACAGTCCAACGAAATAAATCTCAATCGATCTACTTTTCTGACAAACAATATTCACCAAAAACTTAAATCGAAACATGATCTTTTAACCATAACCAGTAAAATTTTTAGATTTACATTTCTAATTGTATTAAGGTGTATGTCCACAATGGATTCGATGTAAGGTGTAATGAAGGTAATTAACCTCCATTTGAGAGAAAAGAATACGTATAAGTCTGTTAATTTGTTAAATTCAACAAAGAAGATTTTGTGGATATGCATAGAGTGTTTACCACATACTCCGTCAACATCTATTTTAGAATTTATTGAAAATCATTGAAAACACTTTGACTTTTATTTCGGGGGAGGGGGGAGCATGGGAATTTTATTTCATTAAAAGCAAAATAGTTACATATTCACCCATGTGCTTGTTATAAGACATTTTGATTTGTTTAAAATTTCACTGATTATGTTTTTTTCGGTTGAAAAAAATTTAAAACTACATTTTCACATTCATTGGTGTTATACTAATTATTACAAGATATATTTTTAAGTTTTTTAATTGAAAAAAAATATTAGGTGAAATTTAGGACAAATCAAAAAAAATAATACGCACAAGAATATCCTTGGCTACCTATAACCAACCACACACAAACCAGTAATACCTCCACAAGGATAACAAACAAAAAAATTGAGTTAGGAGAACAATATAACCAAAAACTCTACCTCACTAGCATAACGTACCATCACTATACTTTCATAGTTCTTAACGATTTTGTTGGTTAGTGTTTGGTGGCGAATGATAACAAAACTTTTATCAACAACTGTCACAAGATTGCTTAAGAGAGTTTTACTTTCAACCCAGGAGCTTAAACAACCAAACTAAAATAAGAATGAAGGAGCAACAAATGGGCACTTCCATGGTTTCCTGGCTTCATTACATTGTTTCAATTCATCAATTACTTATTGCATAACTCAAAATGAGATTCCATATCATTTGTATGCAACAGAAATTATTGAATCGGCAGTTGGAGGCTCCAAACATCAATACTAGCACTAGCAGTAAAGACAAACAAACACTTCTATTTAAACACATTGAAATCAACAGAGGATCTTACAAAAAATAAAAAACAAATCATGTTCAGGGTTTACTATTATATCCGAAATCGAATATCTTATTCGGCATACATTTGTGCGTCACAAATAGAACAAATTAAGCCTACCCAATCGAAAATGTTGGAAAACAAGAAAATTAAGGAAATGATACCGTTTTGATTTGGCCGAGCTGTTGAGGATCAGAGAGAACCTCCTTCATCCTGGCAGTTCTGGGATGATGCATCCACATTGTACCATCCATGAACTGCACCCCACTGGATTCACAAGCCGCCAGTATCGCATCCAGCTCCTTCACATTCAGCGCCACCGGCTTCTCCAAGAGCACGTGCTTCTTCTTCTGAGCCGCCCGGACCGCCCACTCCACGTGCAGGCTCGTCGGCAAAGGTATGTAAACTGCATCCACTTCTTCGTCGTCCAGGACGGCATCGTAGCTCCCGTACACTTTAGCCGTAGCCGGGAAGCCGTTTTCCTTCGCGAAGCTGACCGCTTTCTCTAGCGACCGGCTCCCAATGGCTACAATTGTGGCGTTGGGAGCCAGCATTATGGCTCGGGCAACTTTGCGAGCTATAGTAGCGCAGCCCATTATTCCGAAACGAACCTGCTGCGGTGGCGGTGGCGGCTCAGCCATTTTAGTTTCTCCGGCAAGAGGTGGAAGCTGGAGATTGGAGTAGAAGCTTTTTTCTTTTAGTTCTTAGATTGTTTTTTCTCCCGGAAATGAAGCCGAATTTAAGGAAGCTGTAGCAAAAGAACAGACAAAATTGGTGGCAACTTTTAATATTGAGGATTGAGATGATGCTTTCTTCTTCTATGGACTAATTTGCGAAAGGTTAGCTGTGTAAAAAAGATTCCATAAAGTCAATGCTAGCTGGGGAGCGCATCAACGATTTATTATACGTAGTTGCTGCATTATATGATGTACTCTTTTATTGCTTCTTTTAATAAGTGATAAATTGGCTTCTTTTTTTTTTTGAGCAACATAAATTGGTTATTTATGAATCAACTTGTTCCCCGAAAATTAGACATTTTTGTTGTTTCATGAATATTTTAGACGTGCTCATATTAACTGTAACAGCAAGTGTATTGTCAGTCTCTTACGTTCACTCTTCCCGTATAGCTTTTCCTCAAAGAAAAATTATGGAATGATGAAATCGAATTAACTCCATTTCTTCTTAAAAAGTGACCCCTCTCTTGAAATAATAAGTGTATATAAGTGCTTTTGTGTAATACTTCCTTTGTCCTCTAAAAATAGTCCACATTTAATTGAGAATTTTGTATTTAAAACAGTACAGATATAAAAATTTTATGTAAACTGATTTTTTGGGACAAAAGTAGTAAAAATTTCTTAAAACAAATAATATTGTCGATTTCTTAGATTAGGCCAAATGTATGCGACACGTTCTAGTAATTTTTTTAAATATTATGCACTTAGTGTCCAAAATTATTTTTTAAAAAAATATTACGCACTCGGTGTCCGAAATTATTGTTTTGCATAATTCCAATTCCAATCGAATAAGTACCTTTCAGGAAATAAAATTCTCCCAATAAGTATTCTAATCACTGCTATATATCCATGCCCGGGTTTGATCTCGGACCATAATTAAATTGGAACAATGTTTTTACCACTTGGATCTTACTAGTTACCAGTGGGCGTTCTAACATTAATTTAACTTATTAGAGACGAATTGACCAGAAGCAAATTAAGATAAGTGTGAATTATTGATGCTCGCAGATCTGACAATCTTGCTCGGCCGTTCAATTGTTTATCACTTTGTTGACCGAAGGTCGTACTAGGTAGAGGATCCAAGTGTACTTAATTAACTACTAGAAGTTGTATTTTCCAAAAAAAAAACTACTAGAAGTTTTAAATTATTTTTTCAACATTAATAAATACAGTACAATTTAAGAATTTAAAGTAATTTCTTCCTTCCGGCTCTCTTTGCACTCCATTTCTTTTTTCTGAAAAAAAAATGATGGTTGCAGACAATAATCTCATATTCACGATGATTTTTTTAACTTCTATTTTAAAATAATTATCTAATTTTCTAGACTATATTAACACACAAACAAGCTAATTCTTTTGAAACGAAGAAAATACTTTTCTAGTAACATCATAATCTTCTATTAGCTGAATGTATTTCTCTTACTACTTCTTGAGCTTAGGAATTTTGACTATTAATTAGACATAAAATAAGATCTTTTGCGGCCTTTAGACTTATTTACAAGGCTTTTCATTAAAGTAAAAGTAATATAAAGATAGTGAGAAAAATATAGTGAAAATATATAGTGACTTATATATCTATATTTATTAAGGATAAAAGGGTAATTTTAGGGGGAAAGAAAAAATTTCAACGGTAAAGTAACAACAAAGGGAGTACGCATCAGACCCTATGTTTTTTCATTAAGAGTATCATTTTCCTTAAAGCAAACCAAAACTCAGTTCAAATTTTGTATAGCGGCAGTTCGATGGAGTATACCGTTTTGGACACTAGTTCAAAGATGTTGGACGATCAATCGTCAAAATTGAATTTGCTTAGTATTACGGTACCTTTTAATATGTGCTAAATATTTGTAATTTGAAATAGATAGCTAGTGTTAGTAACGGAAAGATTTTATCCCCTGTAAATGTGTATTTAACAAACCCAAACGAAGCAAGAACGGCAGAGAAGAATTGCCTTTTCCTGATCAATCTTCTTTCTATTTCTCTTTATGGTACATGTAATACTAAGCAATAACGTATTCTCTTTGTTCAAAAAGAAAATTCACATTAAATTTTAAAATTTTTCCTAAAAACAATATAAATATGAAAAGTCAATACCGATTATTTTCTTAGAACAGAAATAATATATGATAATGGTGACATCTCTGTCTTTGTCCTCTTTTTCCAAAGTAGATACTAGCTAATACACAACTTCAATGGCTTGAAACCCCTTGTCAATAGAAGCTTTAACAGCATCCACAACAATTTGTGTCTTTCTACTGATATCTGCCCATTTGTTTTCAGGTTTTGCACCATTTCTTATAATCCCATCAACCAATTCACAAAATTCCTTCACCATTATTGCTTCCTGAGGAAGATCGGTCGTGATAACCCGGTCGCTCGACACTGGGTTACCTGCCCCGTATTGTCCGATCTGAGAGATCCGATTCAAATGAAAGGTGGCATCATTTTCGTTCATGGGTACGACGTAATCATGGACGTGAAGGTTTCCTTCTGTTCCAAGAACCGTAAGGTCCATAGTTAAGGTTGTCAGGAAAGAGCAATAAAAAGTGGCTAATTTCCCACCTTCTTCCCATTTTAGTGATGCACCACAAGATAAAATCACCCCTGAGTCATTTACTTCTGGATCGGCAATGGCGGTCACGGTTTTAGGGAGTTCATAATCAAATGCCCACAAAATCGCTCGAATGCAGTACCAGCCCAAATCACCTAGAGCTCCGAGTGAATCAAGATCTGGTTTTACTCGAATGTCGTTTTTGAGGAATTCAGGGCCTCCGGCAAATGACAAAATGTTGTGCACCTTTGGATATAACAGAAACTACTTAGTAAAATTGTTGTTGTATTACGTAAGATGTTACTCCTCTCGTCCCAAAATTACTATTCAGTTTGGGTTTTTATTTTTAGTTTAAATTAATTAAAATGAAATTTCAAACTGGACAATAATTTTGGGACAGAAGGAGTACAATGAGAAACTAGAAATTCCCTAACCATTAATTTAAGAACGTGTATACTGTGTATACACTGTGAAAAATGGCATAATTAAGGAGGTCATGATTTATCTTCCCAAATTAAATGCAAAGGGCAACTTTCTAAGTAGCTAGTGAGTGTATTGAAATGATTGATGGAAACATCTACCGCAATTTGCCTTTACATAATCCATTTTCCTCCAGTTAATTAGAAGTGTCTCATCGGTCAATTCTTTCGGTCTTAAATAAAAACCTTGTTTTTTTCTTAATATTTTATATTTCAACAACAACAAACTACATAGATTCTTATTTTAGATGAGTAAGTAACTAAAAGTGTAGGATTTAAAAACTCCATTCATAGCTACGTTTTCTTTTCCTTTTACTTACTGTCGGATTTAAATAGAGTTTAAGCCACATAGTAGTAGTATATATAAAAGTGTAATGTAATTGTATATAAAATAAAAAAATCCTTACATTTCTCAAAAAAGTAGTGATCGAATTCTCACCAAAACCATATAAATTCAATCGAGTGGTGATGTATACACTATACAGGGGATTGAGAAGGAAATTTACAGGAAATAATGTGGTTGAATTTTAATTATCCTCTACTAGTCTAATCCTTAAATGTTAAATTATTTAATTTAAGATGTAAAATATGAACGGTTATGATATTTATTTCCTGTTAAATTTTCTCGTAAAATTTCTTTGCACAAATCATTATTCAATTCGATAATTTTGATCCAATTTGATAAGTGGACAATACTATGAACGAAAGTCAATAAACAAACTTTATACTGACAACTGAATTATTGGAACAAAATAACTCATTACTAGTAGTCATCATTACCAAAATTATATCAAAACGTAGAATCGAATTAAAAAGGGAAAAAGGATATGAAAGAAAGAAAAAAAGAATAAGCAAAAAGAGGAAAATGATACCGCTTTAATTTGACCGAACTGCTGAGAATCGGAGAGAACTTCCTTCATCTCGGCCGTTCTGGGATGATGCATCCACATAGTACCATCCATGAACTGCACCCCACTGGATTCACAAGCCGCCAGTATCGAATCCAGCTCCTTCACATTCAGCGCCACCGGCTTCTCCAAAAGCACGTGCTTCTTCTTCTGAGCCGCCCGGACCGCCCACTCCACGTGCAGGCTCGTCGGCAGAGGTACGTAAACTGCATCCACTTCTTCGTCGTCCAGGACGGCGTCGTAGCTCCCGTAAACTTTAGCCGTAGCCGGGAAGCCGTTTTCCTTGGCGAAGCCGACCGCTTTCTCCATTGACCGGCTCCCGATGGCTACAATAGTGGCGTTGGGAGCCAGCCTTATGGCTCGGGCAACTTTGCGAGCTATACTAGCACATCCTAATATCCCGAAACGAACCGGCGGCGACGGCTCGGCCATTTTAGTTTCTCCGGCGAGGGATGGAAGCTGGAAGTGGATATCTTTTTAGTTGTAAGATTCGTTTCCTCCCGGAAAATGAAGCTGAATATGCCTGAATTTAAGGAATATGTAGCAAAAGAACAGACAAAATTGTTTAACTTTTAATATTGAGATGATGCTTCTTCTATAAAACAATTTACGAAAGATTAGCTGTGTGAAAAGATTCCATAATTATGAGTTTCAAGTCAATGCCGGGGAGCGCATCAATAATTTATTACTACGTAGTTGCTGCATTATATGATGTATTTTATCGCTTCTGTTAGGTGATAAAAATGGTTATATTAATCAACGTGTTCCCCTGAATTTAGACATTTTAGTTTATGCCTGAATACTTTATTCAGATGTGCTGTAATATAATGGCCATATGGTAAAAGAAAAAAAAACAACTTCTTTATGAATAATACTACTCCCTTCGTCCTGAAATTATTGAACAATTTGGATTTTTATTTTTAATTTAAATTGTATTAAAAGTGAAATCTCAAATTAGATTGTAATTTTTGGTAAAATAGTACTAGTATGAACGTACGAGGAAGTATATGAGTTTGTTTTGTGTAATTTTTCTCAAGTTTTTTCCTTTTCTTTTTTTTTTTAACAAACAAGGAAAGATGATGATAGCCTTACGAGAAATATTATGTAAATTAATATCACTAAAAATCTCAAGTTTTTTACTTTTCTTTTTTTCTTCTTCTTTTTTTTTAAACAAACAAAGAAAGATGATGATAGCCTTACGAGAAATATTATGTAAATTAATAACACTAAAAATATCATGTTTCATTATATTATGCCAATTATACATTCATTTTAGCTTAGTGATGAAGTATAGAAGCCAAATTACGATAAGTATGAGATAATGATGCTCGCACATCTGACAATCTAGCTTAGCTTGGCCTTCAATTATTTATCATTTTGTTGACCGAAGATCGAACTAGGAGACTGATCTAAATCAAGTAGTAATGCACTAGTATAAAATTTTCAAACTTGTTTCAATATTATACTTACAATAGTAATAATAACAATAATTTAGTCCGCCTTCTTTACTAAACAATGACGATGTGCATAGAATCTAAACCATTGCATCCCTTTACATCTGTAAGTTAACCAAATTAACGAACAGATCACTTAATATTCGCGTCCCATTAAACGAGACCTAATAGCATCCAGTTATCATCAAATGTAGAATGTAACAGTCAGCTCTGTTGCCCGTTCTCTTTTAGAACAATTCACACAAATATGTTATCCTTACAAAGAAAACTCCATCAAAATAGACTGTGTATTCTCGCAGGGGTACATCATGGGAATGCACTTGGACTTACACTTTTGATCTGACAATTAAGTAATCAAAGCTACAAGGTTGGATATTTATCCCATGGCGAAGATTGAATGAATATCTTTACATCATCATTTCCCATATCCATCAGCGCTTCCTGAATACTTTTTATTGAACCAACAGCACATTTACATCCGGTTACCTGAATCATCTCAAGCGTCGAAACATCGGCTAAACAAGAAGGGACTTCCTTCAAGCGTTGGCATCCTTCCAACACTAATGTCTGAAGAGAGGGAAAGTTGTCATCCGAGGCGGTCCATATAGCTAAATCCAAGCCTGCCAACTTTAAAAATCTGAGCCTCAGGAATGTCCCTTCTTCCATGTCCCAATGTTCTCCTGTATATGCATTGTGTAGTAACTTCAGGACCTCGAGATTTGGTAGTTCGCCGATTACTGAAATTTGACTCCACGGAAGGCAAAAGTTGGACAGAACTAGCTTCTTTAGATTAGGTGGAAACAAAAAATGCAGGTTGTGAAATTCCTGGTAACGTTGAAAGATGGTGAGTGATTCAAGTTGACTCATAAAATCCAGTTCTATATTCCTGCATTCCTCTGTACACCCTCGTGGCATAATGAGAGAGCACTTAAGTCGCCGAATATTGGAAAACTTTCGCAATCCCTCCATCATTGTTTGGCCACAAGAAAATTCTACAGCTGAAAGGGTTTGCAAATGCTCTAAACAGGAGCAAGATTCAGGATTCTCTTTTGGCAACTTCCAGAAAGCAAAGATACCAGTTATGTGTGTTTGTAAAGCCTCCAAATTGGAGTGAAAATCTGGATTCTCTACTTGCAACTTCCAAAAAGCTAACTTCCCTTTCACAGACAGATGCCTTAAGTTTTTCATATTCCACACTGTATCTGGAAGTGCAACGATGCGCAAACTAGTATCAAGAATAAGAGTCTCCAAATTTGAGAGATTGTCAACTGATGATGGGATGATAGGCTCCACACTGACAATGATCATGTCAATGGCTAAAGCCAAGAATCTCAACTTAACAAGTAACTCAATTTCCCTTGGAAAAAGGTGAAATGTATAAATTCCCCTCAAGTCCAAAGTCCTCAGAAGCTTTGATGGCCAAAACTTGTACAGCAACGGTCTGTAGGTATATCTTTCATATCTTCCTCTTTGATTGGGAATGATGAACAAACCGCATACACGGCGAGAAAGCAATCTTGAAATTGCGACATACTTTTTTCTCCTTGCGTGAACACGCATCTGAGACAATATGACTGGCTTACTTGAAGTACTGAGGACATAGCCATTTAAGCAGTATGGAAAATGTTTTTCATTCCCTTTTGTCCTGCAGAAATCGAGTAAAAGGTCATGCAAGATGCAAGATTTGACCTTGCCTCTGGACCCTCTCTTACCAACCATAACTAGATTTCGTTGGATCAACTCCATCATGTAGAGCCTTGCAACATCCTCTAAGCATTTTCTTTCAGTTTTCTTCACCAATCCTTCTGCAATCCAAAGACATAACAGTTCCCGAACAGGTATTTGTCTGTCCTCTTCAAATACTCTGAAGTACAGAAAACATGGTTTCAGATAATCTGGCAAATGAGAATAACTCAACTCGAGAGTCTCCTTCCACCGATCTGTAATTGGCAGAGTACCTTTTTTCAGACTTTCTTCGACTTCAGCCCAAGTATCTACATCCATATTTGAAAGAAGTCCTGCAACAACTAGAATCATCAGCGGCAATCCCTGGCAATGTAGTGCTATCGCTTTTCCACATTCAACTAATTCTGGAGGACATGCTTTTTGGAAAGACATCTTCTTCTGCAGTAGTTCCCAACTCTCATTATTGGTGAGCGGGCGAAGATGGTAAGGTTCGTGATCCAGTTTGATTCCTAAAGCCACATTATGATATCGACTAGTCAAGAGAATTCTGCTTCCTATAACATCATCTGGAAACGAGTTTCTCAAACTAACCCATGCTTCATTGTCCCACACATCATCTAAGATAATGAGATATCTTTTTCCTTTCAACTGCTGGTAAAGCTTGTGAGCCAATTCATCTTCAGTCATTTCTGAACCCTCGTCAGCAAACTTATTATCAGTACCGCTCAAAATCTCACGTAACAGCCTTCTCTTGCTGTGGACTTGAGAAACACAGCACCATACACGAACATGAAAGTGCAAGATAACAGTAGGATCCTTATAGATTTTCTTGGCCAAAGTGGTTTTGCCTAAACCAAGCATACCAACAATGGAAACAATGTCCAACCTAAGGCTTCCTCTTTCGAGTTGATCAACTATCTTTCGTGCATCATCATCCAAACCCACTGTGAATTCATCCGATGTTGAGATCTCGCCTACTGACACCATTTTTTTGTAAGTTTTACCAGTATTCTGAAATGTTGTGAACTGCTTCTGCCTATGAAAGGTTCCCGAGGCTTCAAGCTGAAGAAGTTTGATCTCATCTATGATGGTGTTCAGCAGCACAATGAAGCTCTGAACAACATCTCCACCAACTAACGAGTCAATTATAAACTCTGTCTCGTAGGCTACTTCAGCGACACGATCCAAAAGAGCCTGAAACTTCTCATCTTCGCCGTGTTGCTCCATAACATCAACCAGAAAAGATCTCAGAAATACCAGATCATCATGGAGAGTTTGAAATTTATCGACCGACCAAATAACCGAATCAGCTTCAAATGGACTGACTGACCTAATTTTTTCCAAAACAGAGTCAATAAACTCAATCACATAGATTGGAGGAAAGTCGGAAGCTGACATTACTGGATATTTCCGTGTATCTTCTTCCTCTTCCTTGATTAGCCTAAACTTTTTTGCTAGGTACAAAAACGAAACTTTCACTGTAATGATTTCCCCGGATATCGATTTTTCATTCTTTTTAAGAGAATGGAAGACTATAATCAGAGACACACACATCACAACTACTCCAACAATGGCTTCTTCCCAATCAAATTCATCTTGGTGTTCCTTCAAAATGGTTCTGAAGAACATCAATCCCTCATATAGTTTTTGGATTTGATGTTTAAAAATGTCCAAATAACCGGTACCAAATATGAATAGCTTCCAAAGAAGAACAAGGATGCAAACAACAATGGCGGCCATGATCCTTACAAGTTTCTGAAGAAAAACAAAAGTCAGATCCAAGAATCAACATTATGTTAAGTTGAAAAAATTGAAGATTTTTAACCAATTCGTACAAGTTCATAGGTGTTTTTTTAACCAATTCTTTGGATAATAGGTACTGTAACTGGTATTCTTGTGATCGGGTTAATAGGTGTTTTTTTTTATGGTTCATATTCGGGATTGAATTCATCCCTATAGTAATCGAATGAGTTGAAATCTTAATTGAGGCAAATCTAAGACAAAGTGAAGTAAAATAAAAATACTCTTTCAGATCCTTATTAAAAGATATTTTTATTTGCCTTTAATTAAAGTTTTATTTTCAATTAGAAAAACATACTAAATGAAATTTAGGACAAATTAAAATATATTGAGGTTCAGTAATTTGCACTTTATTTTGACAAGTAAGAACAATTTCATACACTTCATGTTATTTTTTTAGCATTGCATACACTTTATTAATCTCATAATTGAGCAACTTAATTGATATATTCATTATTGGGAATGTAGCCGGGGCATCAATCAAATCCCCTTAAGTGATACTAGTGTTGTGCCCGCACATAGATATTAGTTCTAAAATAAAAATTACACGAAAATGTTCACAATTTAATTACTAAATATGAGACCTTCTATGTATGAAAGTAGAAAATTGTTATTATGGAGTTTTACACTTTTATGATGACCACTAATGTTGATTAGAGTTTTTTTTTTAGGAAAAACAGAAAAATAAAAACACAAATCGTTTTTAAAAGCAAAGGAAGCATACTGATTTCGTAGGTGCCAT